ACTGCTGCAAACGTTTCTGAATTATCTTCAGTAATATCTTACTTGCATGTGATATTAGTGATATTGTTCTATAATTTCTACATTCTGTGGGATCACCTTGTCAAGCTTACACAATTTAAAAAAATAAATTAATGTTTTCTTTCTTTCTACAGTGATGTGGATATATTCGTGTTGGGAAGATTTTATTTCTTAAATAATCTGAGATCCTGACTTCTCCACCTCCCCTACTCATATGCCCCACCCACCTCAGATCAGCTGATAATGGTCGTCTCAAATCCCTGCCCTCGCTCCTCCTTGACTTTCATTCCAGGCGCTTCCTCATCACCATTTCTCAGCAACCCCTCCAGATCCCCACCATTCTCCTAGGTCCTCCCAGTAATTCTTCCAAGTTCCCACCATCCCCTGTAGGCCCCCAGCAGCCTCTGCAGGTCGCCACCATTCCCCCAGGACCCCACCTTTGACGCTTCTGCCCCTTTCGCAGCCCTGCCAACATCCCGCCACCTTCCCCCGCCCTGGAGCATAAAGAAGCTGAGGGAAGTCATCACCTTGGCAACGGCGGCAGTAGGCAGGACTGAGCCGAGGAGGACCGGAAAGGTCTGGGGGTCAAGGACAAAACTGCAAGCTAGCTACGCTGCTTACCTGACGAGCTGGGGGAAGCTCAAGGACAGCGAGACTCTGAGCGAGCGCTGTCTGACGATCACAGCCGCGCAGATCTCCAAAGCAGTGGAGAGCGCAAGATGGAATAGAGGAGCTCTGAGACTTTAGGACGCCTGCGCTGGCGAGCCTGCAGCGCACTGTGCGCATGTACCCAGGCCCGGCGCGCTATATTTGGGCTGTACAGCAACGCCGAGCCCTCGGATTATTGGTTCCGCTTGTCAATGCTGCGTAACCAGAATTTGCGCATTCTTGTTTCCTGACGTCGCTCTTCTGGCTGGCGCCGCGGCTTTGCCCGCAGCTTTTACACCAAGAGGTATTTAACAAGTATTTTATTTTTCACTTCACAGTATAGAGAGTAAGAAATTGGGAGGCTGAAGCTAAGTTTCAAGCCCCCATCCCTTGCAGGGCTCGGTTTCTCTGCGTGGGCCGAGGCCAGCCCGGGGACCTTCCTCTGCCCTCCAACAGCCTTGAGGGGCGGTAGGTACCGCCCAGGTGTTACCGACGCGGAACCTAAGGGCCGGGATGGACAGGGAGACGCGCGTGTTCGCGGAGAAGCACTTCCAAGGCTTACGGGAGCGTCTCCCAGGCAAGATCTGCCGTACCCCAGACTGCGTGGACTTCATCGAGAAACCAGATGCCTTATCCTACGCTGACTTCTTTAAGGGCTACCTGCTCCCCAACGTGCCTTGTGTTTTCTCCAGCGCCTTCACTGAGGGCTGGGGCAGCAGGAAGCACTGGGTGACACCCGACGGGAAGCCCAATTTTCATTATCTGCTTCAGAATTATGGTAAGGACTGAACGGAAGAGCTTCAGGGCCATGGGATGGGCGTTTCTTTACTAATTCCGAGCGTGTAGGTGTCCTGCCCCGGGAACATTGAGCGAGTCCAGAACCCTACTACAGCCAGTGCCCTTAGAACTGTCGCCCTTGCCCAGATTCCCTTAGGCCAGGGTCGGATTGTAGAGGGTGCAAGCGAGGGGAGCCATTATGGATTTGGGGAGAGGTAAGGCATGAGTGGTTTCTCAGTAGAGTTATCGGGTGATGGTGTTGACAGTGTGTTGGAGGAGTAGCGGCTGGAGACAGGTAGCCTAGGGAGAGGTTGGAACAAGGGTCGGTGAGGATGGACAGCATGGATGATTCTTAGAAAAGTCAGCTTAATGTGCAGAGCATGTGTTTCCTTCTTGTTTCAGGAGATATGCTTGTACCTGTTGCAAACTGTGGAGTACAAGAATACAACTCCAATCCCAAGGAGCACATGCCCCTCAGAGATTACATCAGCTACTGGAAAGAGTACATCCAGGAGAACTACTCCTCTCCCAAAGGCTGTCTTTACCTCAAAGACTGGCATCTGTGCAGGTAAAACAGCCCTGAGTGTGGACTGTGTGTTTGCTTAATTTTCTCAGAACTGAATGACCTCTGAGGCCTTCTGCCTTAGGGGCAATGAGCTGTACCTAAAAGAATTCTTCTTTTTGCCAGTTAGGAATTTTAATTAGAGTGAAAGAAATCTGCTCTCTTTAGCTTGGTTGTAAGTGTCATTCTTCAGGACATTGCCCTTTCATGCTGCTCTTCTGTACCATGTTTGCCTAGAATCATCTTTAAGGAGTCTTCTCTGCCTTCCCCATCTAACTGGCACCTTCCTTTCAAATGCCCCTGGAAACTTATTCTTTCCACTTCTTCTTTTCACTTCACACCCTGTTCTGCCCTGGTTGCTGCAGGGACCTCCAAACTGAGCTCTCTGAAATAATTCTTGCCCCCTCCCTTGCTAGGCTTTTGAAAGGTTGTCAAAGTGATCTTTCTGGTGGGATTGTGCCCTGCCCTGTGTTTAAAATCCCCATCACTGACAAGACTAATATAAATTCTTTAATGTAGCATTCAGAACCTTTCATCACAGTCTGTCCCTACCTACCACATATTTCATCACTTGAGAGTTTCCACTTACCTCTTAAAAAAAAAAAAACTCACTGCTGTTGAGTCGAATCCAACTCATAGTGACCTCTCCTTGGGTTTCCAAGGCGGTATCACTACAGAAGTAAATTGCCCACCTTCCTTCTGACAAGTGACTGGTAGGTTTGAACCTTCTGGTTAGCAGTTGAATGCCTTAGGCACTGTACCCCCAGAGGATACAGCTCAAATGATGCCCACTCTGAGAAACACATCTCACTTTCATGGGCAAGGTGGTCTCCCATAACACCACCCCAACTCCAGCCCATCATTCCACTCTCCAGTGTAGTCCTTGGGTATTGCATTTGTTTCCCCAACCCAAGGTGGTTCTTTTCACGAGCGGAGACCATCATGGTCAGACCCCCACCACTTGGCACAGGGCCCATCATGCAATAAAACCAAAAAAACAAACCCATTGCCATTGAGTCAGTTCCAACTCATAGCGACCCCTGTTGGGTTTCCAAGGCAGTAAATCTTTGTGGAAGTAGATTGCCTCATTTTCTTCTGCAGTGCAGCTGGTGGGTTTGAACTACTAACGTTCTGGTTAGCAGTCAAATGCCATAGGCACTGTGCCACCAGAGCTCCTTCAGCATCCAGTAGGTAGTCGGTAATGTTGAATGAGTGAATGAACAATTGGATTTCTGTCTTACTGATATGGAAACTAAGGCTTAAAAAGATAAAGTGAGCATAGAACCCAGGCCCCTGTGACTGTGATTCCCAGGACCAATCCAATAGTGCATGAAAAGTTGCTATCATTTGTCATCCAACACCCTTATCTCATAGCATGCCCCATGGTGTTCTATACCATACTGTTTTTTCTTGGATACAGAAACTAGTTAAACTATGGATGAGGTAAAACCAGGCACTGGTCCAGTTCTCAGGGAGCTTATATTCCAGTAGTAGAGATGGACAGATAGACCCAAACACACTAATACACTGTGGGTTTGGGTTTTAGGTGAACAATAAATGTTTTTTTGAATTTTGGAAAAAATAAGAAAATTGTTTTTGAGTGAATTCAAACTTATATCAGACTGATGTGTTTTAGAGTAGTACTATATTCCATAGGCTTTTCAGTGGGTGTGACCTTTGGAAGTAGATTGCCAGGCCTTTCTTCTGAGGCGCTTCTGGGTAAATTTAAACTGCCAACCTTTCACTTATTAACTGAGTGCTTAACCATTTATGCCACCTAGGGTTTCCATTAGGTTTACGTGTGTCACAGGACATACTTACACTAGAAAATTATTCGTTGTTTATTTGAAATTCAGTTTTCATTGGGTATTCTATATTTTATCTAAAAAAAAACTCACTGCCATCAAGTCAGATCTGACTCATAGCGACCCTGTCTTGGGTTTCTGATGCAGTATCACTATGGAAGTAGATTGCCCAATCCTCCTTCTGAGGAGTGGCTGGTGGATTTGAACCACTATCCTTCTCATTAGCAGTCATATACCTTAGGCACTACACCACCAGAGCTCCTATATTTTATTTGGCAACCCTGAAAAAAAAAATAAGGCCAGAGGAAGGCCTAGGGTCAGGCAGTCAGAAGAGCCCCAGGGAGGTAATATCTGAGCAGGGTTTTTAAGGTAAATAGGAGTTTGCCAGGTATACAAAGGCATGCCAGACAGAGGGGCTGACATGGTGTTTGGGGGAGCTATAAAGGGTTTGGTGCTCATGGGGCTTTCCCCTATCCTTGCCTTTGGCCAAGATTTACATATGAGCTAATTTAGAAACTTTTCAGTGTGGCATTGTAGAGTTGTCCTTTTGTTTCCCAAAGACTCCTTCAGGCTGGTTATGTGTTCCAGTGTTTGGATCCCTATTTGTTGGAATCTGGGGATGGTCCAGGAGGAACAATTGGGGGTCAACCTGGGACAAAAAGTGCTTTTGAATGATGGGCCATTCTCATGCCTGACCCTGTGGCCTGGCATCAATAAGGAAAAGTGAAGTTCTCTGGTGTTAGTGAAGAAGCAAAGAAGGGCCCAGAGAGCCAAGAAAATCAATAATGTGCATATAATGCATTAAGAAGCTCCCGTGTCAGGCACAAGCTAAAATCCTGGAACAGGTGCATGAGGTTCTAAAGCATGTGGATCTCTGCCAGCTCATGATCATTTGTCATGTAACAAATGACTCCAGAACTCTTATTTGCTCACAGTTCTGTGCCTCAGCAATTTGAATTGGGCTCCACTAAGCCACAGATCTCCCCTGGGTATCTCTAGCTGTAGTGAGCTGGTGAGTTAACTAGGGCTAGGTGGTCTAAGATGGCCCCACTCATACAACTGTCAGTTAGTACTGGCTGTCAACACCCATGGGGACACTGGCAGTGAAGACAGAGCAGTGTGCATGTCTTTCTAGAATGCTGCTTGTATCTCATTTGCCAGTGACCTGCAGGCCAAAATCAGATGGTGGCCAAACCCAATGTCAATATGGGGACCTGCACAGGGATGTGGGATTGAGGGCCATTCCTTCCACGGCCTATGTGTGGTTCTCTCCAAAGGAACTCTTCAGCAGAGAACGTGTACTCCCTGCCGGTGTACTTCTCATCAGACTGGCTGAACGAGTATTGGGATGCCATCAATGTGGATGACTACCGCTTCGTCTACATGGGGCCCACAGGCACCTGGTAATGCTGGGTAATGCTGTCCTAGGTCTCTCTGCCTGAACCTTCCCCATCAGTGTGTCAGCCCTTGCTCAGAACCTCTTAGAGATTTCCAGTAGCTAGGCACTTAACAACAACAACAAGGCCATAAAGTTGGGCTGTGAGTGTGGCATCCAGGGTGCCCTTCCTATCTGATCTACTCCATTTTCCCTGCTTCTACCCCAAGCCTATATAGCTCCTACAGTAATTCTAGGGTTCAGGTGCAGGAGGTATGGCCCACTCAGCTGGCTTGCAGGCCAAGGTTCTCAGAAGAGAAGCTCCTTTCCACAGGCATGAGAATTGAGGGATGGGGCACTTAGTCCTACATGAATAAAGAAACTATCCCATTTCACTCTGAGGCCTTCAGAATGATGAGCTCAGTAAACCAAAAGCAGTCTCATCCTGAAGAAACAAAGACTATACCCAAGCCAATGAGTACGAACCAGGAGCTCTCGCCACAGGTCACCGTTCCATGCTGACATCTTCCGCTCCTTCAGCTGGTCCGTCAACATCTGCGGGAGGAAAAAGTGGTTCTTGTTTCCACCAGGGCAGGAAGAAGCCCTGAGGGATTGCCACGGTGGCCTGCCCTACGATGTGACCTCACCTGCACTCCTTGACGTCCACCTGCACCCATCACGTGCACACTGCAGCCCACCCCTAGAAGTCACACAGGAGGCAGGAGAGATGGTATTCATACCGAGTGGATGGCACCACCAGGTCCACAACCTGGTAAGGTGGGCACTCCCTGCCCCATGCACCCTAGGATGCCACCCAGACAGAAATCAGGAAAATACACCTGAGGCTTACCAGCTACATAGGAATGGCGGGGCTGGGTTTGCATGCAGATGCCTGCATCTCCCCACAGAGCACTAGGAGCTTTCCATCTACCATTCACATGTGTATTTTCCTCTGCCTCACATACCACCTGTAGGCCACCTGGTCCTTCAGCACCTGTCCTGGATGCCTTCCAACAAGAAGCAATCCTGGTACCTGCAGCGGGGCAATGTTCCACCTCCCAGTCCTACACTGGGCAGGCTATGCTCCTGGAAGAGCCCAAAGCTGGCTAGCGCCCATGTGTGGGGACATTAGGTTCATCCACACAGCGTTGCTGAGGGCCTCCCAGCCACTCTGTTCCCCTCCCACCTACCTTCCTTGGTCCATTGGTGGACAGGGGTTCCACATACAGTGGCATTTCCTTAGGCCTGTGCTGGCTTCCTGTACCTCCAGAGGCTTGGCCAGCACTCAGATCCTCAGGAAGTCTTCTATGCTGGATTAGCTATGGATTAGATTACCCTAGTCCCAGCTCCCTCTGCTCTCTTTAGCACAGACAGTCTAAACCAAAAAACCAGACTCACTGCCGTTGAGCTGGTTCTGACTCCTAATGACTCCTTCTTGGGTTTCCGAGGCAGTATCTCTATGGTAGTAGATTGCACAGTCTACTGGCTTCTTCATTGGAGAGGGAGCCACCTGGATAAAAAGAGCCAAGCCTCTGGTGTTTTCTTGTTTGTTTATTTGTTTTGACCTTACACTACCCAGGGTATAGGGGACTGGGAAGAGGGGGCTTGTAAAGGTAGTGTCCACTGTGGACTCATGGACCTAACTGTGTCCTGCCCCTTCTAGGAGGACACCATTTCCATCAACCACAACTGGGTCAACGGCTGTAACCTAGCCCCCATGTGGCAATTCCTACAGCAGGAGCTCCACGCCGTGCAGCAAGAGATCAGCGAATGGAGGGATGCCATGCCCGACTGGCATCACCACTGCCAGGTGTGGCCTGGCCCAGAGATTGGGGGACCCATCTTCTCCTTCCTCCAGAAGTTTTGATCAGGCCTCTGTTCCCTGCAGCCTTTTGAAGACTCTGGCATGGGATTCAGGGCCCCTTACAGTGTGACTCTCCCTTGTCAAACTGTATCTCTGCCCTTGCCTTCTTCCTGCTGCATATGAAGCACCTGTTCAGGCTAAGGCAGTGAGACCAGACAAACAGTGGGCCCCAGGATAAATGTGACAGGAATTGTGGGCATGCAAGAGGGTTTCTCTAGGGCCAGGGCTGTAGTCTGGGGGAAGTCACCAGGCTTGCATGTGGGAGAGATGGTAGAGGCATGCAGCAGGTCACAAGGCCAATGTCACTGTGTCCTGGAGTGGTTTCCAGGGTACAAGAGTTAGACACATCCAATCACGATGAAGCCACTGAACCACCTGGATGTCTCTATTCCCAAATCTTTTCTCTTGAGGGCAGGGCCCATATTTTGGGGTCCTTTGCAGCATGAGATTCTTTCCATAGTTATCAGTTGTAACAAAATTGTTAATAAGTAGTGACTCACTTGACCTCTCTGCTCTCTGGCCCAGGTGATCATGAAGTCCTGTTCAGGGATTAATTATGAAGAGTTTTACCACTTTCTCAAGGTCATCGCTGAAAGGAGAATCCTCACCCTGGCAAATGGGATAGGCACTGGGATGGCGGGGAGTGTCAGCAACACCGGGCTGAGCACCCAGCAGGCTCTTTTTGATGTCAGTCGGATCACTGAGGTGCTGGCATCCTTGATTGCCAACTCAGACTTCCAGAGAGTGGACACCAGTGCCTTCTCACCTCAGCCAGAGGAGCTCCTGCACCAGCTAGAAGAGGCCATCACTACCACTGCATCCCTTTAATGCTCATCAGGGAGGGCTTAGGGTATGAACATGTGCTGACACATAGGGACTCAGCTCCACTGTCTACCTTGAAGCACTGGCGTGGAAGATGGTCACCTGGTTCCAGGTGTCCCCTCTATAAATAAAGTACAGCCCTTAACTGTACATCCTCGAGCAAACCTCCATCCTGAGCCTTGATAGCATCAGTGTCTAATGGAACAACCCCTGCTCTTTAAGGGTTTGAGACAATACTGACTGTCCATTGGCATTGCCCTGGGCCCTTTCAAAGAACCATAGCTCCTAAGGTCCTGCCTAGAGGTTCCAATTGAGTTGCTCTTGGGTGAGTCTCAGCCAGGACTGAGAGCTCCTGCTCCATTGAGAGACAGAGTAGGTCAGAAGGGTATTGGTAGATATGACTATAACAAGGGGTCATTGTTCCTGAAGGAGGCCAGGTAGTGGTTTGGGAACTTGGGAGTGGGGCTGTGGTGTTGCACAGGCTCAGGGCTGCTTTTGGAATAGGACATACCTGAGGATTTTTTTTCCCGTCAGTGAGGTTTCCATTTCACCTATCTTCACTTGTCAAGAAAAACTGCTCACTGATAACAGTTGAGGAGGATAAAGTACTAGAAACAGATTCAATCCAGTCATTGATGCTGGTTGACCAGCAGAGTCCCCGTGAGTCACCAGTCTTGGCTCAATACCACACTATTAATGTTAGCCAAAGGGTGGAGAACAACCCAATTGTCTATCAGTGGGTGAATGAGTAAACAAAATGTAGTGTATCTGTATGTTTTGGTTCTCTAGTGCTGCTGTAACATAAATTACCACAAATGTATGGCTTGAACAAACAGGGATTTGTTCTCTTACAGTTACAAGATTAGAAGTCCAAATTCAAGGTGCCAGCTCTAGGGGCTGGATGAAAGCCCCTCAGCCTTGGGGTTCAGCTCTGCCTCTTGCTCCCAGTTCACTGGAGCTGCTAGCTGCTGAGGCTAATAAGCCCAGTGTTGATAAGTAAAATGACACAGTCCCAAGATAACCAAACAACATGGTAGGCCACTAGTTCAAGTCCAGGGACAGTCCCAAGATCAGCAGGAAATGTAGCAGGCAGTTGAATGAAGACTCAGCTACATACAGGGTCTATTTTGGTTACTTCGTGCCACTGTGATAGAAAATAACACAAATGGGTGGCTTTAACAAACTAGTTTATTCTCTTAAAGTTTAGGAGGCTAGAAGTCTCAGTTCAAAGTGCCAGCTCTAGAGGCTGGGTGAAAGCCCCTCTGCCTTGGGCTTCGGCTCTGCCTTTTGCTCCTGGCCCACTGAAGCTGGAGGCTTTTCTTAGGCAGCTGCTGGCTGCTGAGGCTGGCAAAAACACAAGGTTGACAAGTAAAAAGGCACAGTCCTAAGATTATCAATATGGCAGGCCACTAATTCAAGGCCAGAAAAAGGCCCAAGATCAGCAGAGCATAGCAGGCTGCTAGATGAAGACATGCAGGGTCTAAGTGTGCCAAAAAGCTGCAGAGACTGTTCTCATGATATACAGACCACAACCCTAAGACCCCTCGTGCAGATTCCACCACGGAGTTGGTTACTAATTTCATGGGAAATGACTACATCCAGCTGCCCAGCCACTCAACCAGGCAAGTTAACATATAACCTTAATTACCACACCATACAAAGGCATAATACTCAACCATAAAAAGGAATTAAATATTGGTATAAGATGTACATTGGATTGTACCTCAAAAACAAGCTGTGTTAAAGAAGCTAGGTACAAAGGCCATGTAATATATGATTCCATTTAGATGAAAACTCCAGAATAGGTAAATCCATAGAGACAAACCCCATTACTGGTTGCTAGGGACTAGTTTGGAGGGGATAATGGGGAGTGACTACTTACTTGATAGGGGGTTTCTGTTTGGGGTGATTAAACTATGGAACTAGATAGGGATGATGGTTGAATAGCAATGTAAGAGTACATAGAATCACTGAATTGCTTTAAAATGAGGGAAATGATGTGAATCAAAGCTTAAATCATAAGGTATATGAAAAAATACTACCAAAAAACAGACTCAGGTGAGGGACAGCAAAGCTCTGATGCTGGAGCTCATGCTGGCTATGCTTAAGAGTTAATACTGGAGAAGGTGCTAAAGCTGACTATGCTTCTGGCTCTGGTCCTAGAGGAAGTATTGTGTATCTGGCACTGGAACTGGTTCTAGCTTTGGCGCCAGTGCTAGACCTGAGGATGGAGCTGGTTTTTCCACTGATACTGGTACTGGAGCTGGTGCTGGATTTGGCTCCAGCTCTGTAGCTGGTTGTGTATTTCACTCTGGTGTTGGTTCAGGAGCTGGCTTTACCTCGGGAGGGGTATTAGAGCTAGTTCTAGAGATTGTGGCTTGTGGGCTGGCTGATACAGGTGCTAGTGCTTGAGGTGGTGCCAGAGTAAGTAATGTTGCTGGCTCTTGCTCTGGAAGTAATGTTAGAGCTGGATCTGGAACTGGCTGCAGGTCTGGGGATGGTGCCAGAGCAGGCTCTACCTTTGAAAATTGTGCTGGAGCTGATGTTGATTCTGTATTTGGAGCTTGTGCTAGAGATGGGGTTAAAGCTGGTTCCTGCTACAACACAGCACAAACATTAGCTCTGGAGCTGGTGCCAGAAATGGCTCCAACTCTGCAGTCAGTACTAGACTTGACTACCTCTGGAGTGGGTTCTAAAACTCTACTTCTGGAGCTGGTACAAGAACTAGTGTTGGAGGTTGTGCTATCTCAGTAGTCAGCCCTAGCTCTAGCTCTGGAGCTAGTTTAAGAACTGTTACTGGAGTTGACACTCTGTCTAGCTTGCATTATCACTAGCACTGGTGTTGGTTGTAGGAGCTAGCTGAAGCTCAGATGGGTTGATACAGCTGGTGTTGGAGTTGGCTTCATCTCTGGAGTTGACTCTAGTGTTGGAGCTGCTTCTGGTGCTGCTGGTACTTGGACTTGACACTAGTTATGGAGACAGTTTTAGAACTGGCTTTGTCCCTAAGACTAGAGAAACCAGAGGAGAAAATTCACCGGCATGACTGCCTTTTCTGAGATTTAGGGTCATGATTTCATGGGCCATTCCAGTCACTTGGCCTAATGTTTTGTTTTTCAGTCCTATCTCCTAGTTCATTGTGTAGTATCTGGGATCTTGAAAGCTTACAAGCAGTTATCCAAGGTAGAACAATTGGTCTCTATTCTTCTGGAACAGCAGATGAAGTAGGAGAATCAGGAATCAGAAGGGGAGCTAGAATGCATGTCTACCTCCATGAACAACTTCCTTTGCCAGAACTGTTTGGTACCGGGCTACCATACCTGAATATTGTGACCAAAGATTCTATAGAAGTATCCTGATCCAAGTGGGTGAAGGTGGGGGGTGTGGTGGGGAATGCGGAACATAATTTCAAACTGTTACAGAATCCAGACTTTCTGGAACCATTGAGGGTGGATGAACCCCCCAAAACTATTGCCCTGAGGTAATCTGAAACCTTAGACCAAAATGATCCCCTGAGGTCATCTTTAAACCAAACAGTAGTTTAGCTTAATAAGTGAATAATGTTTGACTTGAACATTGTGCTCTTTTAAGGAATTATCTATATGTGATCAAATAGATAACAGCAACTTGAGAGATGAGAAGTTTAGGGACAGTGAGTTTATGTTGTGATCGTGGAATAATTTGGGAAGGGATAGTGAGAATGTTTGTACATCAGGAATAATGTAATCAATATCACTGAATTGTAAGTATAGGAAGTATTGAACTTACGTATGTTTTGCTGTGTATATGTTCACTACAAAAAAATATATGAGAGAAGAAAAGAAAAAAAAAAAAAAAAACTCAAGCCCATAGACACTGCTGCAAAAGTTTTCCTAGATTGTAATTCACCCGATAGGTAATCTGAGGTTCCTCTTGTGTTCTAGGCCAACACCAGCCTCTAGAGCTCCTCCTTGTGTGACCCAGCTCTGTCCCCCTCTTCACATCCAAATGTACCCACATCCAGTCCTCATTACCCTCTAGCTCAGCCTCAGTTGGCTCTGGGTGCTCCAGCTGGGCAAAGAGAAGCTGAGCATGGTACTCCAAATCTAGGTCAGGCATACTGAGCTCTACAATGGCCATCAGCACCTTGAGGCAGAGGAAGTCGAGTCTGACAGAAATCCTGTGGGTACCCATCCAGGCAGGTGCCAGGTTGAAGGAGATGACACTGGGCATAAGTGGGTGAAGAGCAGATTTAGAGGCATGGCCTTTCCTGCCACACTACTCTCCCATAGTACTCCTGCAAACGGCTGGGCCCTTGTGCCTGACTCTGCCCTTCCAGAGACCAGCTCCACACCACTTCCCAACTCCATTTTGGCTGACCTGGCAATGGCTGTCCAACTCACCGAGGAGAGGGCTAGGAAAGAACCTTGATTCCAAGAAATTCACAATCAATAGTCTTACTAACTCCCCCTCCTCAGGGAACCTTGGCATACTTCTCTGTCTTCTTATGTCCTTCACCACTGGAAATTAATCTCATGAGGGCAGGGAGGAATTGTAAGTGCATGTACACTGCATGGTGCTGGCACAGAGTTGGTGCTCCATGAATACCTGATGGATGAGGATACAAACAGAGTCTGTACTCCTGCTCCAGCCTTCCTCAGGCCCTTGTGGCTCCTCAACCTGTAGCTTGTGCACCAGTGAGCTGCCTTATTTTCTGCATATATTTGTGGGTTTGTTATCCCAGCTGGCAGGAACACATCCACCCCAGCCCTATATACAAATGAGCACACACCTCTGAGGTTCAGTAGACTTGGGACCAGGTTTCTCACTACATCTGTTCTGGGACCCTAGATTGGGGAGGGATCAAACAGAGCTGGGAAGACACTGTGGTGAGGATGTTATCTCTCAGGGTCCACTCTGAGCTCCCAACCACCTCTCTGCTCCCTATAATGTCTAGGATTCAATCTGTATCTCTTACTGCTTTCTTCCTGAAGGGGGAAGTTCCCAGAATTCATTCCTCTAGAGGATGT